CCCCAAAACCCCAAAACCCCAAAACCCCAAAACCCCAAGGTTTGATTTTGGTGTAATAGTTGAATGTTCAAAAAAGAAAAAAATTCAAAATTTTAACCTTTGACTTATCAACTATTCGTTCAATTAGGGATATCTTCTGGTTTAATTTCAAATTTTCAAATATTAAATTTAAATATCATATCTAGATGAAGCAACTGTTATACACCACTACTTTTCTAATAGCACTCGGTTTTACACAAGCTAGTGTAGCCTAGAGCAGAATGAAGATGTACATGAAGCAACTAGCTTAGCAATAGCAATAGCTAGGTTGCTAGACTTCGATGAATAGATTCAAGTCTGGTCCTCCAGATTACGAAAACATCATCAAGAACAGTAATACTTTTTGGAATGATACATCCTTCCCTGCGGATGGTACTTCAATCTAATGGACTGACACCCAATACACCAGAAACGGATTATACTACTACTCATCTTCTAAGTGGTCTAGATTAAACGATCTTTGCCCAAATTGCACAATGTTTGGTACTGGAGACTATTTGAACGATATTGCTTAAGGAGCTCTAGGTGACTGTTACTTCATGGCCGGAGCAACAGCTGTTGCCGAAATCGATAAAAGATTCAACAAAATCTTTGTCAATCCTGAGATAAACTGGGCTGGACTCTATGCTTTCAATGTTTACGTGAGAGGTATTCCACATGTGATGGTAGTTGATGATGCAGTCCCAGCAGGATCTCAAGGAAAATCACCATCTTTTGCTGGAATTGGTAGTGATGGTTCCATCTGGGGACCACTTCTAGAAAAGGCTTGGGCTAAGTTTTCCAACAACTATGAGTACATAGTAGGAGGAAGTCCTAATGAGGCTGTTTAATTCCTTACAAATTCTCCAACTTCCCAGTTCAACACAAACTAATTCAGTCTTGATGCTATTTGGAAACTTGTGAGCGAATCTGACATTAAAACCAACATAATGAGTGTTGTCACAAATACATCTGGAGATGCTGTGTGTCCATTCAATCTCGCTTGCCAACATGTGTATACACTACTCGGAGTTGCAAGTGTTTACAATGCTGATAAAACTCAAGTTACAAATTTATACAGAATCAGAAACCCATGGAAGGCTGACGCTGGCTTCAATGGTACATTTTCAGATAATGCTCTTATCTGGAATACACTTGGTTTAGATGGAAAGACATATGCACAACAAGCTGGCCATGTCGTTGCTGATGATGGTATTTTCTGGACCACTCCAGAAGAGTTTGTTTAATCTTTCGTGGCAGTGTTCACAGGAGAATATAGAGATGAGTTTGTGACTTCATGGTATGATAAGATTGACGACCAAGTTGCTAATTCAACAAATCCATCAAAGTACACCTTCACTATCACAGAATCTACTCCAATGACCATCAGAGTTGTTACCTACCCTTTCAGAATGTATCCAGTCTCATGTAAATAGACAGCTTCAATTCTCAAAGTAGTTCTAAAGGACAGCTAAGGAAACTGGGTAGATTATGTTCACTATTTTGAGGTTTCAGGCTCATACATCAGTCTTATTGATAAGCCATTAGCCCCAGGAACATACACTATTGAATTTTATCCTTCATGGACTCAAGGAGATATCAAGGATTACGGTGTAATTATCTAATCTCCAAGAGATATTGAGATCACTGATGTCAACGGCAAGACTAGCAGAAAGACATCACATGATCTTACTCATAAGGATTTGAAACCAGCTGTTGCTCAATTAGCTAAGCCAGAAAAGCCAAAGCTCCCAGATTTCTCTCAGCAAGGTCCCGAATACACATTAACTGGAAATCTAGATGCTGATATTGCCGGAATCAGATCATCAAAATCCTTCCCAATTAGTAATTACGGCATTACTTTGACAGGCTTTAAATATGTGAGAGTCCCAGATCAAAGAGTTGAGGTAGTATTTTTCTTTGGAACTCTAACTGAAGACTATACTTACACAGCTACTGCCTGGGTAACCACCACAGTTGGATACAAGTTCAAATTTACCTAAGGAAATGACAAATGTAAAATTACTAACGATGCTGCAGCAAATGAAGACACAATTGAATGTGCCTGCGTTGTCAAGCCAGAAACTTATCCAAAAGAATGCATGCTAGTAATGGTGTCAGCTCAAAACGAATATTTCTCTCCTAGTTATAGTCAAAGGTACTCATGGTGATTAGTAATCAAAATTAAATGTAGGATACTTGTTAATTCATAATTTCCTTTAATCGCACACTTTTAACGATTATTCAATTATGGGGTTTTGGGGTTTTGGGGTTTTGGGG